AAAGTGGGTTCCCAAGTGGGAACAGGTACTGTCTCTGACATGAACTGATTGGCCTGCTCTTTGATCACCTCCCCCTGAGGGGGAAGTAGCCTTACCTGGCCACAGAGGAAAACAAAGCACAGAGGAACAGCCACTCCTGATGAGACCTGATAGACTAAGATCAGAAGGAAGGAGAGAAGGACCCTATCAGTGGACTTGGGGAGGGACATGTGTGGAGAACGGGGAAGGAGGATGGGATTAGGAGCGGGAGAGGGAGGGAGCTACAGGTGGGATGCAAAGTGAATAAACTGTAATTAATAAAAATAAAAATAAAAAAAAATAACAAAAAAGAATTTAACCCACAAATTTGGATTTACCTATTCTGTTATTATAACATTGGAACGTACATTCAAAGTAGTTAAGATTTCCAAACAAATTATGGATGGTAACTTTAATAATATACTTTCATTAAATTTATAGGAAAGTTTTAGTAACAGTATACATATATATATAAATATATATATACATATAACATATCTTACATATAGATATGTTATATGTAGGCAAGATATATATTCTATTGTAATCATTTTCCAACTGATTAAGATGCTATGTCTCCCCATCTTTTTCTCAGACGGAAGACAATCTCATATACAACAAATATCAAGACAGGAATATTCACACACAACAGTACTGTCTAGAACATAGCCATAATACCTTGTCAGCTGTGTCAGTAATGTCCTCTGCAGTTATTTCTCTCCAAGGCAGAGATCTAATCTAAGAAGCATGCATCATTTAGTCACACTTAGTCATTATGTCCATTTAATTGCCGACTTTCCCAATTTTAACATAAAAAAATGCTAGTATAGTTATAGAATGTCCACGGATTAGATCTGTTAGAAGTTTCTTCATGTTTGGTTCACTGTATATTTTGGTTCACATTGTGTGTGTGTGTGTGTGTGTGTGTGTGTGTGTGTGTGTGTAGCATTGCCACAGACTACTTGATACTGAACAGGATACTAGTATGCTGACTTGCTCCAATACTAGGGATGCAGATTCCACAGCCTGGTTAAAAAGATCCATGAGTGTACTGTTTCTTTCTTTGATGCTATTAAGTAAGCTGAGGAGAGATCCTTAACAATCTGATACTATAAAGAACTTTCTCTGTTCTTCCATCACTTATTCATTTTATGTTTATTTATTACATATTTATATAAATTATTATATTTCAACACTATGGACTCACTGATTTATAAACACAGGTTACTGTCCATTGTTATCAAAACTGATGCTCAAATTTTTATTTTCTTTTCTACCCCTCCCTTTAATTAATTTATTTTTTGAGATAGGGTCTCAACATAGCTTAGACTGGCCTCCAACTTATAATCTTCCTAGCTAAACTTCTGAAGTGCAGAATCATAGGTGTACACCACCATGCCCAGTTGTTTTTCATAAAGACAATGGGGCCCTTTCACTCCCTTTGTACTCCCACCAGCAATGGAGGAGGATTTCCCTTTCTCTAAGTTCTCTCCAGACTGTGTTGTCACTTAAGTTTTTTTCTTAGTCATGCTGATTGGTTTAAGATGGAATCTCAGAGCTGTTTTGATCTGCATTTCCCTGATGACTAAGAATGCTGAGCATTTCTTTAAGTGTTTCTCCACCATTTGATATTCCTCTGTTGAGAATTCTCTACTTAGTTCTGTAATCCATTTTTTTAATTGGATTACTTGATCTGTTGGTGTCAATTTCTTGAGTTCTTTGTATATTCTGGATATTAGCCTTCTATCGGATGTGGGTGAAGATCTTTTCCCAGTCTATAGACTGTCGTTTTGTTCTGCTGTCAGAGTCCTTTGCTTTACAGAAGCTTTTCAGTTTCTGAGGTCCCACTGATTGATTGTTGATCTTAAAGCCTGAGCTATTGGGGTGTTCTGTTCAGGAAGTTGTTTCCTGTGCCAATGAGTTTGAGGCTCTTCCCTACTTTTTCTTCTAACCGATTTAGTTTGTCTGGTTTTATGTTGAGGTCTTTGATCCATTTAGACTTTAGTTTTGTGCAGGGTCATAGGTATGGGTCTATCTGCATTTTCCTACATGTGGACATCCAGTTATCCCAGCACCATTTGTTGAAGATGCCATATTTTTTTCCACTGTATGGTTTTGGCATCTTTGTCAAAAATCAGGTATCCGTAAGCATTTGATAAAAATCTAACGCCCATTCAAGTTTAAAGTCTTGGAGATATCAGGTATACAAGGCATACCTAAACATAGAAAAGACAATATACAGCAAGCCTATAGCCAACATCAAACTAAATGGAGAGAAGCTTAAATAAATTATACTGAAATCAGGGACAAGGCAAGGCTTCCAACTCTCTCCATACCTCTTCAGCATATTATTTGAAGTCCTTGCTAGAACAATAAGACAAGTAAAGGAGATCAGGGGGATTCAAATTGGCAAATAAGTCGAAGTATCACTATTTGCAGATGATATATATATATATATATATATATATATATATATATATATATATATA